ACATAAGCATCACCAACATCACCATCATCGGGACACTATCATCATCACCACCATGGCCATCATCATCATCAGCATCAACATCGTCATCATCATCATCACCATCACCATCACCATCATCATCATCATCGTCATCATCATCATCATCATCATCATCATCATCGGGACACCGATGGGACACCGCGCGGCGCCGGTTGCCGGAAGGGAGACTTTTGGTCCGGCCGCGCCTCAGCCAGAGGCGGGACATTTCTCGCCCGCCCACGCAGCTTCTCCTCGCCCGCACGCGCGGCACGCACGAACACGAAACCGAAACCGATTTCCCGGTAGGGGGGCTCTCTGTTCCACTTCGATCTCACCCCCTCGATCTCACCCCCTCACAATTGTTGTTTATAGAATCCAGGGGCGCAATGTTATATCAAAGAGACGTTGTCTGTGAAATCCTGAGGTGATCCAGTTTCACGGCGCTGGCGTTCTGGTGCACGCAGCCAAGGCGGTGTACACGGGCGCCGTCGCGCACGCAGCATGCTGCAGTATATACGCAGGCGCCGCAGTGTGCAGAGGCGACGTGGTGCGGCAGTGCGCGCGGCTGCGGTGGTGTACGGAGGCATGGTGGTGTGTAATGCGGGATGACGATTAATAAAAAATGGGAGAGAACGATTAAACAAATAGTTTTCGTGCATTTCTGCATAATTTTCTGCCTGGAGGAGAACGATTTAAAAAATAGTTTTCCAGCCCGCGGCCGGCTTTATCTAATCGTCATCCCGGGCGTCGCCGCGTGAACACGACCCCCGGTCATCTACTAATCGTCATCCTCCATTAAACAGGTGGCGCTGTGCTGCACGCCGGCATTGGGGCATTGACGTGTGCACAGTGGGCGCGGTGCACACATGCGATCGATGTGCCGGTGGCGCGGGCGCACCCTGGCGGGCGCAGGCCGCGGCCCGGCCGCCGTTACCGTGACCCTCCCGCCCGAACCCTTCCCTTCCCATGGGTAAGGGCCGCTACCCGGGAGAGGAAAAAGCAGTTACATCTTGAGCTCGAGCTGGTTGCGCGCCCCGCACGTTTCGACTGCAACCACCTCTGCGGCGAGCTATTCGCTCAGGCAGCTCGAGCTTCATGTCCAGATCAGTTCGGTGAGGATTCGGATGCCAAGGACTACAACGCAGTTCACCGCGGTATGACACATAATTCAGCACAGCACAGCGCAAGATAATCCTTGGTACGTGACATCACGATCGATACCTTCAGCATTGTCGCCCCGTCACCCAGATTAGGTATCTTGAAAACGTATCCATGCTTCAAGTTTCTACATTAATTTCCGGATTCGTGAGAGTAGAGTATATTCCATTTCGTTTGTGTGTTCTCTCTTTCTTTTTTTTTTGTTTCTCTCTCTCTCTCTCTCCTTTTCGGAAAAGAGAGGACTGAGGCGGGCTAGCAAGCAGTAGCAGGGTGAAAGGCTGCCTTGCGTTTCTATGCCGGTCGCCGTACAGCGCTGCTGGACAGAACGGAGAGGAGGATGAGGCCAGACGGACGGACGGACGGACGGACGGAGGAAGAAGAGGAGGAGGAGGAGGAGGAGGAGGAAGGGGAAGGCCTGTAGGACCTGGAACCTTGAAGGATCCTCTCTCGAAGCTGTGGACCTTCGTAAGTCTCGACCCTTTCCCCGGAGCGGTGTTCTCATCCCGCATCACTTCTTGGCGGCCCCCTGGGCTTGGCAAAGTGCCCCTAAAGGTCGAGCATGATACCAACCATGGTCGGCCTCAAGTTTTCCCGAAGCAGCTTGTCTGTGAGGGTCATATAGTTCGCCTCAAGGCTCGTGAGAGCTCCTCCGGGACAGGAATCGGTGGCCCGTGGCCCGCGATCTCCCGTATTGTCACCCGTCTGGTCTCCCGTACGCTTGGCCCATGGTCTCCTCGTATGGTCTCCCTCATGGACTCCCGCGTAGTCTTCCATACGGTCTCCCGTATGGTCTCGCGATGGTCTCTTGTGTGTTCTCCCGTATGCTCTCTCGGATGATCTCCAGTGTGGTCTCCCGTGAGGTCTCCGTTATAGTTCCCCCGTGTCTCGTGCACCTACAGTTCGGTACGCAGCACCCCGCAGTAACGGATCAGAGTGAGGGGGCGGCGGGGTCGCCGTCAGATTGCAATGCTCTGAAACAGCCCGCCGCAGCTATCGGTCTCGCTCGATTGATCTCACTCGATCGATCTCACAATCGATCTCACTCGATCTATTTCATTCGATCGATCTCACAATCGATGTGACTATCGATCTCACAATCGATCCCACTATCGATCCCACTGTCGATCTCATAATCGATCTCACATTCGGTCTCATCATCGATCTCACTATCGATACCACAATCGATCTCACAATCAACGTCACCATCATCATCAACACCATCGTCATCAACGTCATCAGCATCACCATCATCATCGGGACACCATCGTCATCATCACCGCATCACCATCATAAGCATCATCATCATCACCATCATCACCATCGGGACACCACCAGCGTCACCATCATCATTCACATCATCATCGGGACACCATCAGCATCATCAGCATCGGAACGCCACCATCATCATCATCATCATCATCATCATCATCATCATCATCATCATCATCATCATCTCATCATCATCATGAACAACATCATCATCATCATCGGGACAATCATCATCATCATCAGCATCATCATCATCATCAGTAACATAATCATCAATATCATCATCATGAACAACATCATCATCATCGTCACCAGCATCACCACCATCTTCAGCGCCGCACCATCATCACCACCAACATCAGCATCATCATCACCGGGCCACCATCATCAAAATCATCATCATCATCCACATCATCAACATCAGCATCATCAACATCATCATCATCATCAACCTCATCTTCACCAGCATCATCGAGACACTATCATCATCATCATCGTCATCATCATCTCGATCATCATCATCATCTTATCATTCACATCATCAGGATCATCGTCATCATCGTCATCATCAGCAACATCAGCATCATCACCATCATCATCATCGGGACACCATCATCATCACCACCATTGCCGTCATCATCAACAACATCGTCAACATCATCATCATCATCATCACCAGGACACCATCATCATCACCACCATCACCGTCACCATCATCATCATCATCAACATCATCGACGTCATCATCATCCTCATCCTCATCCTCATCCTCATCATCATCATCATCATCATCATCATCATCATCATCATCATCATCGGGACACCGACGGGACACCGGCGGGACACCGGCGGGACACTGCGGGCCTCCGGCCCCCGGAAAGGAATCAGTTGGTCCAGCCGCGCCTCAGCCGGAGGCAGGATACCGGCGGGACACCGCGGGCCACCGGCCCCCGGAAAGGAATCATTTGGTCCGGCCGCGCCTCAGTCGGAGGAGACTTTCTTCTCGCCCGCCCACGCAGCCTCGCCCGCACGCACGGCACGCACGAACACGAAACCGAAACCGATTTCCCGGTAGGGGGGCTCTCCGTTCCACTTCGATCTCGCCCCCTCACCTCCGATGTATAAGCACATTTCACAACGAGTCTCCCGCAGGCGCTGGTTTTTCCGGCAAAGCAATGTAGGCGGGTCGTGGATGGGTCGAGGGGTGGGTCGCGGGGTGGGTCGCGGGGCGCGGGTGGATCGCGGGGCGGGTCGCGGGTGGGACGGTGACAGCAAACAATCAAGCAGAATCCGCGCCGCGGAACTCCAGTTCAGCCACGCACCCAGGGTCAGCGAATGACCGGTCGTCCCCCTCACTCTTAGGGCGACGAGATCTATGCATATCCACTGCTCCTGGCCAGGCCCATCCTGGGCCCAGGAGCTGTATATATGCCTCCCTGGCCAGGCCAGGAGGGCGTATACACCGCTCCTGGGCCCAAGATTGGCCTGGCCAGGAGCAGTGGATATGCATAGATCTCGTCGCCCTCACTCTGATGAATAAGATAGTACGCCACCACAGTGCAGCCGGTGTTCAAGACCCCGAGAGGCCCTGCCAGCTTAAGTGCTGGCGTCCTGCCAGCCCATGTCGGGATCGGTGCGGGCTGATATTTATGGCGTCTATTTGGGCGTCGACCTTGGACGGTTTTTAGAAAACCCCTCCCACTAGAGGATTACGGATTATTTGATCGGCGGCCCTATTGAAATATGGGCGTCCCACCAAAAAGGGGGTACCTAGAATCTGTTTTTCCGCGGCACCCGCTGCGCAACAACGACGACGACAGCAACGACTACGATTGCGATTACGGCTACAAGGAGGAGGAGGAGGAGGAAGAGGAGGAGGTTTTAGGACCAGTCCTATTCACCGCCGAGAGAAAGGGGGGGAAGACCTTGAGCGGCTAGGGCGTGGGCTCTCTTCTTCCCTTGCCCTTGCCGCTGCTTCATCCCGCTCCCTTCGCCTCGCCTCCCGCATCTGGGCAGGCCCAGGCTGAGGATCAGTCGTTTCAGCGCCGTTCCCCCCCAAAAAAAGAAGTCGTTCCACAGAGCGTTCCGGCTTGCCCTCGGTGCGCTCGGCGACGCTCTTGCGCTGATCGCGGAGACCGGCACACCCTGCACCAGAATCGCCAGCTCTCAGAGGTCCCCTCGTCCGATGCCTGGGCACCGAGTCTGCGCGCGCTCGGACCGTGACTGCGTCCGCCAGCCCCGATCAAGGGTCGGGCGTGTCCCTGCCCCTCGTGTTAAGTCGGGCCTGTCCCTCTACGGGAGGAACCTTCAAAGGTGGTCAACAAAATAGTCTGGGGACGATGTTTGGAGCACTTGTTGAATCATGCTTGAGCATTTGTGCATGATTTTTCATTTTTCATCGGGCCCGACCTCACCCGAGTCTGCGCGCGCTCGGACCGTGACTGCGTCCGCCGTCCCCGATCAAGGGTCGGGCGCGTTGCTGTCCCCCGTGCCCTGGGCCGCGGGCCAGCCCGGGCTTGCCTCGCTGCGCCCGGCCCTCCCTTCGCGCGCGGCAGGCGGAAGGCATCCTCAAGTACAACCACAACGAGTCCATCCAGTGCCTGTGCTACAACCCAGGCTGGACTGCGAGCCCGGATCCCCTGGGCGCGGTCGCACAGCACGTGTATGTCACATATACATGTGCACACAGAGAGATGTGGGGGGAAAGGTCGAGAGAGAGAGAGAGAAGCGATAGTGCGATCTTCTGGAACCAGGCTGGGAACACGTATGATGGTCAGCGATCTGTGCCATCGGCATGATACGATGTAATATGGTTCCATCAACAGCTCGATCCATATATCCATGTATATACCTATACGACCACCCTGCGGGTGATAAGGAGGTTGGGGGGTGGGGCAGCAATGGGCAACAGTGGTGAATGTTGTTGTGACAATGCCAGTGGAGATAGTTGCGTTGCCGCTCGCTCTTGGGGGCGTTGTTGGGGATCTCACAATCGATATCACTATCGACGTCGTCATCATCATCATCATCATCATCGACATCACCATTAACATCATCATCATCGTCATCATCATCATCAGCATCATCATCATCATCATCATCAACGTCGTCATCATCATCACAATCATCATCACCATCATGGCCATCATCACCATCAGCATCGCACAATCGATCTCACATTCGGTCCCACTATCGATATCACAATCGATCTCACAATCGACGTCATCATCATCATCATGATCATCATGATCATCATCATCATCATAATCATCATCATCATCATCAACGACACCAACATCATCATCATCGCCATCATCAACATCATCATCATCACCATCATCATCATTACCGTTACCATCACCATCATCACCATCATCATCATCATCATCATCATCATCATCATCATCATCATCGGGACACCGACGGGACACCGAAGGGACACCAGCGGGACACCGGTGTGACACCGCGCGGCACCGGCCGCCCGGTCAAGGTTCTTTTGCCCCGGCCGCGCCTCAGCCACACGGGACACCAGCGGGACACCGGCGGGACACCGCGGGGCACCGGCCGCCTGGTCAAGGTTCTTTTGCTCCGGCCGCGCTTTAGCCACAGGAGACTTTCTCTCGCCCGCCCACGCAGCTTCGCCTCGCCCGCACGGCACGCACGAACACGAAACCGAAATCGATTTCCCGGTAGTGGGGCTCTCCGTTCCTTTTCGATCTCACCCCCCAACCTCCGATATATGTATAGGTATGAATTTTAAGTACGATATGAAATAGCGGCACGATCAGATGTGTTATGAATCCAGCAACAGTGCGTTCCAATCGTAGGTATATATATAGAGGTATACATATATATATATATATATATATATATATATATATATGTAAACATATGTGTATATATATATGTATAGATAAAGACGAGCAGTGCGCCCAGACATTTTGGCTCAAGACGGCATTTGTTGCTCAAGGACGTTAGAATTTACGCCATGCCCCCCGCGAGCCTGACCTCAGTCATGTCCGAGGATGGTCCTGATGAAAAGCTGGCCGACCCTGCGACGCCCTCGTCTTCGAAGCGCCACTGTTTCCGGATTAGTTCGGCAACGAGGGTGTTATGGCAGAGGACGCGGTGGCAGTTCTTCCGTATTGGAGATGTTGATGATGCTAGTTTCTCGCGCAAGAAGGATATGGCCAAGTCGCCCAAGGAGGGGGGAATTATCAACGTGTCGGAGATGGTGGTGCCATTGTCTACACCGCAGGAAGCTGTAGACGGCATTTCCGATATATTTGCGGAGCGTGTGGTGACAATGACAAGTGAGAAGTGCGAGGCGAGGATGAGGAGCATGTCCAAGCATATCGGCGGGATGAGAAAATCATTGACCGACGCAGGAATTTAGGCCAAGAGGGTAGAGCAGTCAGCGCACGGTGCGAATGTATTGTTGGAGCTGACGCAGGTACAATAGAGCCACTGAATGACTTCGCCGTCGCTCTGAAGCGGCGCAGCGATGGCCGCTGAAGCAAGTGGCGAACAGCTTGGAGCTGGAGTTGGAGTTGCCACGCTTCTTGGACCGACGGCTCGAGCAGGAGGCTTGCGCGCTGATCCTTCCGGGGCCGCGCGAACGGGCGTCGCCTGCCGCCCTGCGGGGCCCTCGTTCCCCGGTGCTCCGGACGCAGATCCCCGACGCCGCCGCGGGGGCCCTGGCGGCCACATGCCGGGTGCACTGCTGGGAGGCCGGCACCAGCGGCGGCTTGCGGATCCCACGCCGGCGCCGCACGCTACGAGGGCAGATCGACGCGCCGGGCCGGGCCGTGCAGCTTGGTGCGTGGCCGGACTGGTGCGAGAGCAGCGCCATGCCCCCCGCGAGCCTGACCTCAGTCATGTCCGAGGATGGTGCTGATGAAGAGCTGGCCGACCCTGCGACGCCCTCGTCTTCGAAGTGCGACTTGGTGCGTGGCCAGACTGGTGCGAGAGCAACGCCATGCCCCCCGCGAGCCTGACCTCAGTCATGTCCGAGGATGGTCCTGATGAAGAGCTGGCCGGCCCTGCGACGCCCTCGTCTTCGAAGTGCGACTTGGTGCGTGGCCAGACTTGGTATGACGAGAGCCGCGCCATTTGGAACCTTCGCGCGGCCCACGCCGGCCTGGAGTCCTGCGCGGTGGCGGCAGGCCTCTCGATCGCCTGGCTGGTCCAGGGAACATCCACTGAGCCTGCGCCTCGGGAGCAGTGCCAACGGCGGTGCCGCCAACTGCTGACGCGGCCCAGCCAGCTGGGCTCCACCCATGAGCTCTTTCGTTCCTTTGCTCGCCTCCCCCTCGCATGATACGTTGTTTCACTGAGCCAGTACTCGCTGCTCCCGCAGTCTTGTACCGGTTTGACGTTTCTGCCTGCCCTCTGTCTTCCCGTTCCCCCCAGCCCGAGTGATACGATGTAGGTTGACTTCGTATCGGCTTGCGTCTTGGCTACTGGTGTGCGTTTTGTATAGCGTTTTTGTTCAGACTCCCCTCCCTCGCGTTCCTTCCCCTCCGCCTCCGAAGCGTCGTTTAAACCCTTTTTCCTGCGCACCTGCATCGGCACAAGTTGGAACTGTTTTCTGGCCAAGCCTGCGTGCTGACATTCATGTTCTATCCCACTAAGTGTGATAGCGGCGGGGGTGGAAATTTGTTCAGTTGTTCTTGATCAACAGGTGTTTGATACATCAGGCCTGCCAGGTTTCACTGTCCTGCTAAAGATCTGCTTCACATCCCTTGTTGAATCATCGTGTGTGCTTCCAACTTTTCCCTCCAAAAAAATTCTTGGACCAGCGGGAACCAAAACGAGGAGGAGCAGGGCGGATAATTGGGTGCCCATGGCACCCCTAAGCCATGGAAGTTCCTACGCGACAGTGTGGAAGACGATCACGTAAGCACTGCCGACGAGCACAGAAACGACCAGCATTGAGATCATGCCAGTTTTGAGGTGTTTCGCGACTTCGCGATCCCATGTCGGAGTTGCAAGAAAGTGTATGTGAATAGAGAAAGAGGGGGGTAGAGGGAAGGAGCTAGGAACAAATGGAGAGAGACCACAAAGAGAGAGAGAGAGAGAGAAAGAGAAAGAGCGGCCGCACTATACCGGGAGAGCGGGACATACCTAATTTGAGGAAGGGGGGCACAGGTGTATAGTGATGGGGGATAGAGGGTGAGGAATGGAGGCGACTGAGCCAGATACATTGAGGGCGATATGGAGGGGCAAAATATGACATCTCTTCTGCTCTGGGCCTATCGCTGAGGCGCGTCCTCCCTTTCCACGAAGAGTCGGTGAAGGAGGAGGAGGAGGAGGAGAAGAAGGAGGCAGAGGACGCGGGGAAGGATGGCGGAGGCGAAGAAGGATGATGAGAGGGACGAGGAAATGACAGAACAAGAGCAAGGAGGAGGTTCAGGGTCCAGAAAGAGGCTTCATATTTTTTGTAATCAAAAATGTCATGGGGGATGCGCCGAAGTGTCTGCGCTGACGGCACACGAACGCTCCCATTCGAGGGCCGCAGCTGGGGCGGGCTCGCCCTGGGGCGCGGAACGCTTGAGGCGAGCGTGTGTAGCAACGGTATCAGCGACAGGCAGCAGAGACGAGCAGCAGCGGCAGCGGCAGCACACGCGGCAGCGGCGGCTGGAAAGTGGGAAGAGGCCGCGAGGCGGCAGGAAGAGGTCAGCGGGCGCGCGAGCCCGGCCGGCGCATGTGCGCGCCCCTCCCCCCCTCTTGCCTCGACTCCCAGCAAGAGTGGCCGTTCGCCGGAGTGCCCTCTGGTGCGGCTCCCCGGTGTCCCCTCCAGCATCGGCGAGCGCGCCTGGATTGTGACCGCCCCCCCGTGGCTCCCTGAACGCGCGCACGCAAGGAGGGTCGCTGCCTCGGCCTCGGGGGTACAGCGCTGCACATGGAGCGGCAGCGGCCCTCACCCCTCTCTCGGTCGGGGGTTGCGCACGCGGCCAGTGATGCGGCCAGTGATACGAGCGGCACGCGCGCGAGCTAGCAGGGACAGCACTCGACCGTGCGTATGCCGCCATATGGAGACGCAGCCGCACACTAGAGGGTCACCATTGTCTAAAGGGCTCTCGCGCGTGGCCGTCTGCCAGAGTTAAGTCGGGCCTGTCCCCCTACAGGGGGAGGGATTCTCGACGAAAAAATACTCCAAAAATAGTCTGGGGACTATTTGTTTTTAGTATTTCTTGATTTTGTTATTTTATTATTTTGGGGGTATTTTTATTTTTTCGTCGAAAATCCTCCTGCAGGGGGACACGCCCGACATTACGCCAGAGCGTGCTCGCCAGTGACGCAGCAGCTCGCCAGCGGCACGGCGTCCGACCTGGGCCTGTGGTCCCCGGAGCAGAAGTCCGTGTCCAAGCACAAGGCGCGCGCCCGCGCGGGCGGCGGTGGCCACCGGAGGATCCGCGGCGAGCGCGGGGGGGGAAAGCGAGGAGGAGAAGGCCGCCTCAGAAGGCGGCGGGGCTTCTCAGAAGCCCTCAGGCCTTCCGAGGAGCTTTCTGTGTCCTCGGGGGGGGCTTGGGAACTCCTCGGAAGGCCCGAGCCTTCCGAGAAGGCCCGCCCCTTCTCACTTCCCCCCTTCGCTCGCCACCAAGAGGAGGGAAAGGAGAGGTGGGGGGAGAGATGGACCTTTGGGATTCTCAGCGGCGCGAGTCCAGGGGAGGGGGTCGGGGAGGAGGAGGGGGAGGATGAGAGGGCAGAGGGAGGAGGGGAGGGAGAAGTGGGGAGGAGAAAGGGGAGGGAGGGGGGGAGGGGACAAGGGAGGGGGGGGGAGGGGGAGAGGATGATGAAGGAGGGCGAGGATGGAGAATGACGATCAGGAGGGGAGACGGAGGAGGTGAGTGGCAATGGCAGACGCTTCGCCCCACACTCTTGGGGGAGCCTCTTGAAGCCGTCCGGAAACCATAGAACCCCACCTCAAAATTGCCGTAAGCCGCCGACAGCCTCCCAAACACAACCTCCTCCTCCTCCTCCTCCTCCTCCTCCTCCTCCTCCTCCTCCTCCTCTTCCTCCCCCATCCATCTTCACGGCTTCCGAAACCGCTGGGAGTGGTTCCAAAGCCTCCTCTTCGCCCCCCGCATCTAAACGAGGAAGGAGGAGGGGTCACAGCCGGTAAAACCTAGGAAGGAGGATTGGGAGGACGTGTGGCACTCGCCGCTCGTCTGTGGCGCATTCTTCGCCCCCCAGGTCGCGCTTACCAGACCCGCTACCGCCACTAAGAAACTATACTGTCGTCGGGAGAAAGGAGGAGCCTGGACCTTCCCCTCCCCTTGTCCCTCCTCGTCCCGAGAGACTTGCGCGTCTTCTTGAGGTCGAACTCGGCTCTACACAGTCAAAACTCATCCTAAAGACGCACGGGTGTCCTGAGGGTACCGTTGCGTCCCTGCATTTGCGGCCCGTCCTTCACGGTTTCCACCGGCCAACTCCTCAAGGTGTTGGCAGCCCGCCGCCCAAACAGTGCCAAATTCGGCGTCCAAGGCCGTTGCGTCCTTATTGCCCGTCCTTGCGATAGGTTTCCATTATAGAGCACGCAGTTCCCTCAGGGCACTTCGGGGACAGAAACATTACCACGAAGCCGGCATCCCCCAAACATGCTTACGCTATGTGCGTGCGTCGCCTCCGCGGGTGCGACGCGAGCGCTCACAGATCTTGTCGTATAGGCTCCGTGGCGGGCGTTTCTGGCCAAGCCGCCCTGGCAACGATGTGCTGCAACGTGTTGTATCGTATGTTCGTTTCGGATGTGCGCCTCCAGGGATCATGCCAGTCTGTCCTCCTGCGCCTCATGAAACGATGTTCGCAAAGGCCACCGCATTTAGCACATAGTGGACGCTCTTCGCTGTGGCAGGTTCGTGAGCTTGAGCCGTTCAACAAACACACTTTCGTATGGTGTCGCGGACCTGGCGACCGCGCAAGCCAGTCGGGCAGCTTGGGGGCACTGAGCGGCAAATGGAGCACCGCTTGAGAGGGTGAAACAGGTAAGGCGAGGCGGCCGTGGAGAAGGGAGAGATGATGATGCTGATGATGATGATGATGATGATGATGATGATGATGATGCTGATGCTGATGCTGATGATGATGATGATGATGATGATGATAATGATGATGATGATGATGCTGATGATAATGATGATGATGGTGATGGTGATGATGATGCTGATGATGATGATGGTGGTGGTGGTGGTGATGCTGATGATGATGATGATGATGATGATGATCATCATGCTGGTGCTGGTGCTGATGCTGATGCCGCTGCTGATGATGATGATGATGCTGATGGTGGTGCTGATGCTGGTGATGATGATTACGATGATGCTGATGATAATGACGATGCTGAGGATGATATTGTTGACGAGGATGATGAGGTGGAGGATGAGGATGAGGATGAGGATAAGGATGCTGCTGCTGACGATGCTGATACTGATGATGATGCTGATGATGATGCTGATGCTGCTGCTGCTGCTGACGACGACGATGATGCTGATGATGAGGATGCTGATGACGACGATGCTTTCGGTAGTGGTGGTGGTTATGATGGTGATGATGATGATGCTTACGATGATGACGATGTTGATGATGATGATGGTGATGATGATGATGATGTTGATGATGATGATGATGATGTTGAGTATAGTGGTGACCACGAGGATGAGGATGCCGAGGAGGAGGATGATGATGATGGTGACGATGGTGATGATGATGACGATGATGATGGTGGTAGTGGTGCTGCTGATGATGCTGGTGATGATGACGATGCTGCTGATGATGACGATGATGATGATGATGATGATGTTGGTACTGATGATGATGCGGGTGCTGATGATGATAACGATGCTGATGATGAGGATGATGATGTGGATGAATATGCTGATGACGATCGTGATGATGATGCTGCTGATGATGAGTAGGATGATGATGATTATGATGATGATGCTGCTGATGACGATGCTGATGATACAGATGAGGCTGATGATTAGGAGGCGGAGGATTATCCAGATGAGGATGAGGATGCGTATGAGGATGTGGATTATGATGGTGATGATGAGGAGGAGGAGGAGGGGGAGGAAACGGAAGAGGACGAGGAGAGGGATGATGAGGAGAAGGATGAGGAGGAGAGGAGATTACGGCCGCCTCGCACCGTGCATGTCTCCAGGGGGCGTGCTACGGCCACAGAGCGCGTCCAGGTGCGACTCCAGGAAGAGGGCCGTGCAGGGGTGCAGACCTCCTCCTCCTCCTCCTCCTCCTCCTCCGCCTCCTCCTTCTCTCCCCCCTCGTCCTCCGCATATTGCACGATGCTTCGGGCAGAGGGCCCGCACGCTTTTTGTGTACACGCACGCGCGGCGCCCGCTGCCGCCCGGCCGGCAGGTCAGCTCCAAAGTCTTGTGCATGTCGTGGACGAACGACGGGCTGCACCTGGCCCTCGGCCTGTTCAGCGGCCAGCGCCCCCTCGCCGCGCACGGCGTCGAAGCTGAAGATCACGACGCGAATCAGAGAGATGAGCGATGTAAGCTTAAGTCGGGCGTGCTCCGCTACAGGCGGAATGTTCAAAACTAGTAGCAAACATGAGCTGGGGACGAGTTTGTGAGTTTTTTGCCTGTTTTGGTGTACTGTTTGGGTATTTTTAATTTGTCGCCCAAAATCGGCCTGTAGGGGGACATGCCCGACCTAAATGTAAGCATGGATTTTCAGAGGTCCGCGCGTGTTTCTTGAGTCGGCGCCCAGTCGCCCCTGGCGCGCTCCGCGCGCCAGGGAGGGAGGTCCAGCGCCCACCCAGGATGTTCGCGCGAACCTATGAACATAGATGGTTATGGGGTTGTTCCTGATCGTGCAGCGGTGTTTGGTCATGTTGGGAGTCTGAGCCCGCTTTCGTGCCCCAGGACCGTCAGGAATCGATCCGGGATGGAGAAGTGGTCAGGGAGGTGGACCCTTCGGGGAGGCCAGGAGGGGAGGGTCCGATGCCCATTCTGGAAGGTCCTCTCGTCCATTCTGGGTGTGTGGCGTTCGATGTCGCGTGTTTCTCTACCAGCAGGCTGGATACGCACGATGCTGCTCGTCTGGACGAGAGCCGAATACACATGCGGCCACCTGTCGTTCCAGCGCTCGGCCCTTCTATTGGCGGGTACGCTGGGCTTTCCATCCTCATCCAGCGCGTGGCCGCAAGCCTCTGAGGACGGGGCGAGGCAGGGGACGGGAGGGGGGAGAGTGAGACGAAGGAAGGACGGGAGGTGGGGGGGAAGTGGAGGGGGAATGGGGGAGGGAGGAGAGCAGAAGGGGAGGGACGCGGGGGGTAGGTGGGGGGTGGGGGTGGAGTTGAAGTGAGGGAGCGGGCAGGACGGAGTGAGGAGGATGTAGGGGGGAAGAAGAGGAGGATGAGGAGGAGGAGGAGCATTAGGAGGAGGAGAAGGAGGAGGAGAGTGTTTGGAGGGAGGAGGAGGAAGAAGAGGATCAGAAGGAGGAGGGAACGGGGGATAATGGTGCCCCTCGCCTTTCGGATGGTCTGTTCGCAATGTTTCCGCATCAATCCTCCTCCTGGGCGGGTTGGTGGGTCACGACGGGGAGGATGCGTAACACGCAGTCGGTCTGCATGCTCGGCTGTGTAGAGGCCCGAGACTGCCTGTCGGGTTACGGTGTGTGGTGCCGTAGCTTCAATTTCGTTCTCGCGCGCGTTCTCCACGTCCCGTCCGAACGCGATGCCATAATCGGGCTTGGAGCGCGAGCCTCGGAGCCCTCGCACTTGAAGTATATATGTCGTCACGCAGATTCATTTCCACCGACTGTTGCACTGCCAGCGTAATCGTAAGTCGAGCCTGTCCCTCTACAGGAGGAATCTTCAAAAATTGTGAAAAATGGTCTGGGGACTAGGTTTTCGTACTTTTTTGTCTAGTTTTGAAGATGTGTTGGCTATTTAGCATTTGTCCTCGGAAATCGGCCTGTAGGGTGACAGGCCCGACCTAAGCGTGGTCGCCGTGGCCAGGAGTTTCGAGTTTCCGGCCCCTCCGAAGCCCTCACGATCGCCGCTGGGGCGCTCCGTGCAGCCGAGGCGCCTCTCGGGCGAGAGAGGCGGGAGCGGCGGTGAAGCGATAATGGGGCACCTGCATTCCGACGCAGTGTCTCCTCTGCCTCTTCTCTCTGGTCCTCCTCCTCATCCTCCTCCTCCTCCTCCTCCTTCTCTCTCCCCTCTCTGTCTCCTCATCCTCTCTCTCTCTCTCTCCTCTTTCTCCTCTTTCTCCTCCTCTTTCTCCTCTTCCTCCTCCTCCTCCTCCTCCTCAATCTGTAAGCCAATGCCGTTGTTTTGTGGGAGGGAGGAAGATGGGGAAAAGCAGGCGGAGCGGCTGGGGAGGATGAGCTGGAAGGGGGCAGGATGAGTAGGAGCACGAGCAGCAGCAGGAGCGGGAGGAGGATGAGGAGAAGGGAGTAGGCACATGTCAAATTGCATTGACCCTCCACAGTTGTGCACGTGGGAGAAGGGCAAACCACCTCTTCTACTCACCACATGGCCACTCGAAACACACCCCTCGTGGAAGCTCGCGCGAGCTGCACATCCATTCTCTCCTGGCACGGACAGTGGCGCCTGTCGTGCCGCATTCTAGAAACTTCCCTGTAAGCTTTGCAAGCAACAAAGCCCCCGCAGCTGCACATTCAAACCGTCATGGCGCAATCCACGACTCCCCAGTAGCAACGAACAGAACTACTCTGCCCAGGGGTACCCGATGTGTACATCTGGTGCGCCCTTGGCAGGTCTCTGCGCACGGGCCCTCCCGATACTCCTGGGGACCTCGCGCCACCCGTGCCCAGAGCATGCACTGATGCTACTTACTGCAGCTAGCCGAGCACGGCCGGCAGCGCCTATCCTCCATAGTGCAGATCATCGTGTTCTCTCAATGTTGTTCAGGTTGGGTGTGGAGGAGGGAGGACGCTGGGGTTCTCGAGCCAATAGGTGCACCATCAGTTCAGCCAGAGCGTACAAGCCAGGGTGCGTCGCCCATCCTATGTTTCCATGTGCCTTTGAGTCACGTGTTGTTGTCCGTTGCTGGCAAACCCACAACACCAACACTTCCGTCCTGTCATTGTATGCCTCTGTTCCTTGCTCCTGCTAACGCGCGATCGTAGGCGACGTACATCCGAATGACAATCACATGTTACCATTTCCGAAGCAGCCCTGTTAATCCCCACCTTGCTTCGCGCATCGGATCTATTGGGGGGCTGTATGGGGCTTAGCGGGCAGGGGTGCAGGGAGACATGTTTGCAAGCCAGCTGGTTCAGACCAGCCTCCAACAGCCGCATCTGCCAATACTTGCTCGCTCGAGACTACTAGTGGTGCTCCGTACGGGCTGGGCGCACTAGATTCTCTACTCTTTGCCCTTTCCAAGCAGCTCTCTTGACATATACTCTGCCCAGCCTCGCCACCACGTCTTAGCAGCAGGTTCAAGTACCCGTCCACTGCCTTTGCCCGACGATGCCGCGTGCCCCCTGTCAAACAGCCGCTGCCTTGTTTGAGCCGACCGATAACAGATCATAAACAATCGGTCGGTAGCACAATGTCATTCCATGCCTGCCCATGCGTATCGTCACAGGTTGAGGGAGGTCAGGTCGCAGAGAAGAGGATTGATATTATGCACGCGTTCCTCCCCCCTTTCCCTCCTTCGCCCCGCTTAGTGCGAAGGGAAGGTGACTGGCAGAATCAGGGGATGGCAGACCAGAGGATTCATTAGTTGCACGTGCCCCTCCCTCTGCTTAAGACCTCCTCCGTAACCGTTTGGGCCCAAACATGTGTTGCTCTTCTGCTTTCCCCATTTCAAAAACCCTCCCTTCCCCTCCGCGGGGCCGGGTGGGAAGGGCCACGCAGTGTCCGTTTTGGAGGTGCTTTCTGCGCGGGCCGCTCGGCCGGCACATCGGGCCCTGATAGGCGTCTCTTGTGTGCCGCGGCCCTGGCGCGGACAAAGTACCTGTGGGTTGGGGATGCCCAATGATACGCATTGTCCCTCCTGGGACAGGGGGAGGAGGGGAATGTAAGTTGTGGGTGTCACCGTTATGGTGATGGGTGGTTAGTAGGATTGGGGACGTCGGGAGGGTGGTGGGCTTGGTGGGACGTCCGCGCGCTGCTAGAACTTGGTGGGACTTCCGCGCGCTGCTAGCACTTCAACACGAGCTCCCCACGGGCCCTTGTCTTCGCACATGTGTATGGCGCTCTCGTCCGTCACCTGGGATGCTTTGGCCATGCTCGGGCGGCAGTTGCGCGAAGACACGGGGCCACCATTCTCCAATTGGGCGCGGGACGAATGATAATGGACTGAACCATTTCTCCTCCTCCTCCTCCTCGTCCTCCTCCGCCTTGCCCCCCCCATGCTCAAGAACCTTCTGCATTGTCCTATTCCGTGCCTCCCTCGCTTCATTTCTGCTTTCTCGGTGGGGGCTTTCGTATCGAGATACCGTTCGTCAAGATACCTTCAGAGAGTCCAAAGGTCCAAAAAGTTCTCCACCCCCACCCACCCCGAGCATGGTCTTCGAAATTCCAATCCCATGCTGTTAGACACAGGGCTGACATTTCGAGGATCATGCTCGGAGGGGCGCGCTGTTTGCGAAGAGGCTGGCGGAGAGAGAGAGAGAGAGAGAGAGAGAGAGAGCGAGAGAGAGAGAGAGTGACAGAGAGAAAGAGAGAGAGAAGCCAAAACGATGAGGATCACGATATCCAAACCGATCACATAGCTAGAACCCACTTTGAAACAGCACGGACGCATGACTACAATATCATCTAAAACAGCGAGGGGCGCCACAATCCCCCAGCCTCGAGGAGGACCACTGTAAACATAATGCGCATCAGCGGTGTTACGATAAACCCTCCCTCCAAGCTCCCTCTTGACAGGCCCCTACAAGGATCAATCTTCACAGCTGGAAATGTCCCGTTGGAAGACAACCATCTGAGGATCCCCAATCGTGCTGAAACACCACCCCTTGGACACTAACGCCGCGAGTCAACTTCTCTCTGGCGTCCTGACGATCCTGCATTGCGCCAGAAGGCCATCCCTGGAACTTCAACACCGCGAGCCAAGGTGACTGTTGCGCCCTGACGACCACGCATCGTGCCTGAGCACCGGTTCTGGAACGCCAGTCAGAAGAACACGCTAAACTCGCGCCAGTCAGAAGAACACGCTAAACTCTTTCAAACTCTCAAGACGAGTGCGCGCGGCACCCAGGCGAGAGCCAGATTGTGAAAGCGGTCCGCCCTCCGTCCGTGAAGCGCTGACGAGCTTGCCTGGCGACCCTGCGCGGCGCTACGTCGAGAGCCACATTTTCAAGACCACCCGCACTCAATCTCTTGGCATCGCTCGGACGTGTGTATTTTTTCTTCGGCGGGGACCATCGAGGAGCATCCTTGATCATTTGGCAAAAAAATCCACGCACGAGACCGGAAAAAAACACAGGGAATGGACGTCCGAGCGATGGCCAGATCTTCGAAGCTCATGCATCACTTTTCAAACGAGCTTGCGGCGCGAAGGCGGGAGCCGCATTCTGAAAACAGCCCGCCCCCCACCCGTGAGACCCTCGCAAGCTGCAAGACGAGTAGTGTGCGCGACACTGCGGCGGGAGCCACACTCTGAAGACGGCCCGCCCTCCATGCGCGAAAGCCCTTGCGAGTTTTTTCTGTTGCGACGAGCGCGCGGTCGGCGCCGAGGCGAGCGCCACGTTCTGAAAAGCGACCCGCCCCCTTATCCGTGAAGCCCGGGCGAACTTGCTAAGACGAGTGCGCGCGGCGCTGAGGCGAGAACCACACGACGAGTCTAGGCCTCCTCCTCCTCCTCCTCCTCCTCCTCCAGATGGGGTCGGAGTAGATGGGGTCGGAGGATCGCGCCGCATCGCCGACGCATCGCCGACGCATCGGCGACGCATCGGCGACGCATCGGCGATGCGGCTCGATGTGGGGCCCAATTTTCTCCACGCCGACGCCGCCGATGTGTCGCCGACGTCGCCAGCGCATGGCCAATGCATCGGCGATGCATCGCCGATGTATCAACCATGCGGTGCGATCCTCCGACCCCGTCTACTCGGATCCCGTCTGGGAGGCCTTTAATGAGGCGTTCCAAAACTCGCTTTGCCTGCGAGGATCGAAGGAGTTGACATCTCTTCCCCCGCGGAAGGCGGCGGAAGGTCAGCGGAAGTAGAACGAGGCCGCCTCCGCCGGCGAAAGCATGCGGAAGCTCGGCGGAAGGCGGCGGAAGTGAAAGATGTGTCCCCAAGAGATGGAACAATTTCGTGTTCAGGGTTTCCGAAGTCGCCCACATGTTGAAAGCGACCCGCCCTCCATCTGTGAAACATTCGCAAACCTGTACAGGCGAATACACGCGGCGCCAAGGCGAGAGCCGCACTTTGAAAAAAGCATCCTCCATCCGCGAAGCCCTGGCAAACTTTTCAGACGAATGAGCGCGGCGCTAAGGCGAGAACCACATTTTGAAAACGACCCGCCCACCCTCTATCCGGGAAACATTCGCAAGGTGTTGAGACGAATGCGCGCGGCGCAAAGGCGAGAGCCACATTTTGAAAACGACCCGCCCTCCATCCGTGAAATTGTTGCAACCTCTGAGCTTCGGAGTCATACATGGTGAGGGCGTCTCAGGAGAAACTCCCAGCCCGCCCCACCGATACGCCTCCCGGTGCGACAGGGAGGAGCTTTCTGTAAGGAGTAGGAATGGAGGAGGAGGAGGAGGAGGAGGAGGAGGAGGAGCAGGAGGAGCAGGAGGAGGAGCAGGAGCAGGAGGAGGAGGAGGAGAAGCGGGAGGACGGAGGAGCGAGCGACGGAAGGCGACGGGGACGGAGGGGAAGATGTTTACCTTTGCCTGCGCACCTTGCCGTCGAGGGAGTGAGGACGGGACGAAGGGGAGGGAGGCAGGGGCGAGGGCGCGGGCGAGCGGGGAGGCATTGGGGGAGGGAGGGCAGGTCCCCAGACCCATGCGACGCAACAAGGCAACGAGACGTTTCTGGCTACTCGGCTCCACAGGCCGCTTGCCGTTCCAGGGGGCCTGAAAAGAACGGCTTGGGATGAGAGGCTGGCCGTCGGGGGAAGAGTCGATCTCGCCAGGTGCCCGCTTCACGAGCACAGGTGCGGCATCGGAAGAGGCGACGACGAGGACGATAAGGGCGACGACGAGGGCGACGACGACGACGAGGTCGACGACGACGACGACGAAGACGACAGCGACAGCGACAGCGACAGCGGCGACGACGAGGGAGAGAGGGAAGGAGAGAGGGAGGCGAGGGATGGGGGTGCGAGCGGCAGCGTTTTCATAGTGGGCAAGGCAGCGGCCGCGGTTCCCAGGCCACATCAGCATCCGGGACAAGTTCGGGGCGGAGAAGGCCACCGCCAAGTATGAAACGAGACGGGGATAGCTTCCCTTTCTCTCTCCACCCCCTTCCTCCTCATCGTTCTCCTCTCGCCTCCTTCACCTTCCCCTCCCCCTCCTGTCGCCCTCTCCTCCGTGCCTCCGTACTCTCTTCTTTGTGCATTTCTAGCAATTTCATGTGAACCCGTCGTCTCCATGTTTCCCCCTCGCTCATCGCCGTCATCTTGGACCTCCGTTCTCCTCTTTTCGCCCTTCCCGTGCCGGCTGTGCATGGCATGCCCAGTCGCGCAGGAAGCCAACATCAGCTGGACTCGGGCACAAGCGTATGTCACATGTCCACCCCTTACTGACGTCTTGTTTCATGGCAACAGCTCTCCCAGGGGAGCTTGCGCAGAAGAGATCCATGAGGGAGCAGGATGGAGCAGGAGGTGGGAGAAGGGATGAGTCAGAAGGAGGGGAGGGAGGAGGGAAGCGGTAGGGCGGAGGCAGATGATCAGGGTGGACGAGGCGGACCGGGAGGAACAGGAAGATGAGGAGGACGGTGAGGAGGTGCAGGAGATGGCCAGGAGAGAGGGAGGAGGAGGAGAAGAAGGAGGTTGTGAAGAGAGAAGGAGAGGAGCAGGATGAGCAATAGCAGCCTAACGTCGGGACGAGCGGGGGAGTGAGCATGATGGTAGCGATGACGATGATCATGGTGATAATGACGAGTAGCCGCAGCGTGAGTAAGAGAAGCTGGAGGAGAAGGACAAACCCGAGCACCAACACTGGCAGGAGAAGGTATAGTGTAGGATGAAGATGAGGATGAGGATGATCTCAACGAGGATCATCGTTGTCGAGTTGCCTGGACGTTTTTCGTGCACTTTCAGGCCTTCGGAGACCAGCAGGAACGCAGAAGTGACGGGCTTCCGACGCGGTGTCCTTGCGACGGGGGCCTCGGAAGCTCTCGACCCCGTCGCCAAGAAACTGTTTCTCTTCGCTGGGATCGCTTCTGGAGCTGCATGGAGACACGCATGACGTGGCCGGCCTGGGCGAGAGTTGGATGCGGCCGCGCGTCTCGTCGGCGCTCTTCCATCGTGTGGGGCGGGGTGCGCCGGCACTCCGCACGCAGCCATGTGCGTTCCCAGCCTCCTCGGGCCCCCATCAGCGCGGCCCGAGGAGAGCAGACTGCGGGCCCCCAGAAGGCGCGTGGACCACACCGTGTGGTGAGTCAGTTGGGGGTCCTTGCTGGATCTGTGTCGTTCTCAGAGGACGTCTCGGGCGACTGGGGCCTCTCGGACGGGGTTAGGACGAGAAAACATCCGTTCCAGAGCGTTCCGGAACGCTTTCAAAGCGTTCCCGAACGCTCTGAGAAGGCCGCGGCGCCCGAGACATCCTCCAGAGCCGCCGGATTTTAGAGATTCTCGATGTATCCTCTCCCGAATGTATCATCGTCCAGGCTTCGTCTTCGGCCTCCTGTGTCCCAGGGCCGTGCCGTGACGGACCGCGGGGGAGGTCTCTGGGAATGCCGAGAGGTCACCGCACGGACTGCCGCTGCACGAGGAGGGGAAGAAGGGGGAGGAGAAGGAGGAGGAAGAGGGGGAGGAGGAGGAGGAGGAGGAGGAGGAGGAGGAGGAGGAGGAGGAGGAGGAGGAGGAGGAGGAGGAGGAGGAGGAGGAGGAGGAGGAGCAGTGGGACAGCCCGTTGCCGTGTGCTTCTGTCTCGCGCCGCCAGGGAGGGGGCCTCTCGCGGGGTCGTCTGGGTAGGCTCGTCGCGAAGGGGTGCCCCCGGTGCAGAGGCCCGGTGCGGATGCCCCTCGCGCGGGGGGCGCACGTTGCAGGCCGCGGGAGGCCCACCTCGGGCCGAGGGTGCGCCACAGCCTGCAGGCGTTTTTGGCTTAAGCCGGGCCTGTGCCTCTACAGGAGGAGCAGTCATTGAGAACAGTCTGGGGGGCGGCTTTTTGCAACATTTTTGGGCATCTGTTGACTATGTTTGAGCATGTTGTATTTTTTCGTCCAGAGTCCGCTTGTGGGGGGGCATGCCCGACCTAACGTTTGGTCCTCGCCGTCGTCGCCGTTGTCGTCGTCGTCGTCGCCGTCGCCATCGCCGTCGCCGTCGCGGTCACCGTAACCCTCGCCGCTGCCGCCCTCGTCGCCGTTGTCCCCATCGTAGTCGTTGTCCTTGTCGTCGTCGCCCTCGTTGCCGTCGGCGTCGTCGTCGTCGTCGCTCTCTCCGTCGTCGTCGTCGTCGTCGTCGTCGTCGTCGTCGTCGTCGTCGTCGTCGTCGTCGTCGTCGTCGTTGTCGCTCTCGTCGTCGTCGCCCTCGAGGATGTCGGGCTTGATGGATTGCACCGACTCGTTGTCGATCCGGGCAGACTGTTTGCAGTCCGTCTGGCCGTGCCCACGAGAGCCTCTGAGGAAGCCCAAGCGAAGGAACGTCGAGATCGTCCCTCGAACTCGCTCGAGGAGCTCTGAGGAGGAGGAGGAGGAGGAGGAGGAGGAGGAGGAGGAGGAGGAGGAGTACGTAGGAGAGCTCAGAGATCCTATGTCTGACTGTCTTGCCTTTTGACTACGGGATTCCAGGATGTTTTTTTTCCCCGGTGCCAGATTGTTATATATGTTGCGTTCTTTTTTGTGGTGGGCCCCGAGGGCCCGGCATTGCCCTGTGAGGACCCCTCTGAGGCCGAAGACTGCGAAAAATCTCCCGCATCGTTTTCTCAATGCTAGCGAAGGGGGTCTGGGGAGGAGGAGACCAGTGGCAACAGGAGACGCCCAGTCGCCGATTCATCGCCAGCCGGGGCCTGGGAAGATGGGGCTTGCCTATCGGGGCCCTATCGCCAATCCTTCGGCCACCTATCGCCAAGTCCAGGTCGATGTTCGGAGGAGGAGGAGGAGGAGGAGGAGGAGGAGGAGGAGGAGGAGGAGGAGGAGGAGGAGGAGGAGGAGGAGGAGGAGGAGGAGAGGGGGTGGCCGCCACCGCCACCGCCACCGCTCTCAGCCGCAGGCGGACATCGCCCGCGGGAACCCCGGGTCGCCCGTCTGGACGCTCGCGTGGAGCGGCCGCGCCCCCGCGGCCCCTCCTCTCGGCATCGCTCGGACGTGTGCGATTCTCTCGGCGAGGACCATCGAGGAGCATCTTGGATCCTCCTGTGGAGAACTGCGCACGAGAGCGCAACAGGCGCGGGGAATGGACGTCCGAACGACGGCAAGTCTTCCCTCTCGGAGAAGGGGCAAGCTCATGCGATATCCCCCCCCCTGCTCCGCGTCTCCCGCCCCCCCCGCCCCTCCCTCTCATTCCCCTTCCCCGGGTGCTCCCGCCCTCCTCCTCCTCCTCCTCTTCCTCCTCCTTCTCTCCTCCTCCTCCTTCTCCTCCTCCTCCTCCTCCTCCTCCTCCTCCTCCTCCTCCTCCTCCCCCTGCTTCCATGCTTAGCACGCCCGCCGCTTCACCCAATCGTCTCTGTTCCACAGTTTCTGCCAGCGCACCTGTGTTGTGTACGGCTTCTGGCTCCCCGGGTCAGCTTCGATCCGATCGATCCGATCTGAATGCGGCTGCAGCCAGCTCGATCCTATCCGGTCCATATGTTTCGAAGCTCCAGGGAGCCCATGCGGCCTGATGCTCGGATGGCGTTGTGGGAATCTCTCGTCCTTTCGTCATCGCCCGCCTCCGAGGGCGGCGGCCTCCCCGCGGCGGCGGCCCCAGCGCCGATCTGAGAAATCCGCGCGGATCTCCGAAAGTGTAAAGCTCATGTCATTGCCTGTTCCCCTAGGGGCAACGCCATCGTTCGCCACGGGAGAATCACCTGGGGCCCCCAGATGGGGTCGGAGCAGATGGGGTCGAAGGATCGCGCCGCATCGCCGATGCCTCGCCGATGCGTCTCGACGTGGCGACCGTGTTTCCCCACGCCGACGTCGCCGATGCAGCGCCGACGTCGACGATGCATCGCTGAGACATCGGCGAAGCATTGGCGATGTGGCGCGATCCTTCGACCCCATTGACGCGGACCCCATCAAGGAGGTGTGTGTGTGTGAAGTCCGCTCATATCACCTTTCCATACATCTATCCTGATACTGTCTCGGCTCAGGTACTGGACAGTCCTGTTGGACAGGACTCGTACCGCTGGTCCAGCGGCGCATGGGAAAAGGGTTCTCTTACCTCTTCCGAATCGTCCTCTTTTCTGAAAGCGTCGACCCCCAGAGGTCTCGACCACTCCCCTCTGAGTCGTTCGCTGATGGTCCCCAGGCCCAGTGAGGGCCCCCAGGAGCCGAAGACGGCGAATAGCCGCCCGTCGCGGTTTCTGTCACGCCGCGAGGGGGTCTGGGCATCCGGCGCCCCCCCGGATGAGGAGGCCAATCGCAGGTTGGATTCTTCAAGGGCTCCCTCGAGGGCGCGAAGTTATTCGCGGTTCGCGCTTCGCGGTCCTCGTTCCTTCTCCCCCTCCTCCTCGTCCTCCTATTCTCCCTTTGGGAGGGCGGCGCGAGAGCGCGAAGTTATTCGCGCTTCGCGCTTCGCGCAGCGCGAAGCGCGAAGTTGGGAGCCCTTGATTCTTCGATTGCCGACCTCCGCTCACGGGAGGCCTCCGAGCTGGGAGAGACGCTGGCCGCCGCGGAGCAGCGCGAGACGGCCCGCCTCTCCTCGCTCTCCTGGGCCTCGGGAGCCCCGCCGCGGGCCAGCACGGCCCACGCGTGCGAAACCACCGGGCCGCCAGGATGGGGCCGAAAAGGGCTGGGAGCCCTTGCTTCGAGGAAGGAGCGATGCGCGGGCGCCTTCTTCAGGCCTCCTTCTCCTCCTCCTCCTCCTCCTCCTCCTCCTCCTCCTCCTCCTCCTCCTCCTGATAATCATCTCCCGCGGAACTCCAAAGAACATCATACCCGCCCGAAACGGCCCGGGGCCCTGGTCGCGACACGCACGCGCTCTTTTCAAGGGCTATGTTTGGGGGCTGGATAGCTCATGGGGACTGCCTCGACCCTCCGTCGCCCATTCGGCGCCGATGGGGGCCCGATTGCCCACTCCGCGCAGGACCTTGCGGATCTGCTATTGGGGGTCTTCTGCCGATCTACAGCCGATGTATCGCCGAGACTAGGTCGATGTTCCTCCCCCCTGAACATGTCCCCCCCCATCATTGACCCTCGTGATCGGGTCCATATCCGTTTAGGCTCCAGCGTGTCACGAGAGGCACCCCTGCTCGGGTCGGCACCCTCTGCCGGCGCCTTTCTCCGCGGCCTCGCCCATCTTGGCCATGGACGGCGCCGGGCTGAAGCGGGCGCCTCGGGAGAAGGCGTCGCGCAGCGACGAGGCGGCTCTGCATTGGCGCCCGAGAGGGGTGGCGCAGGGCACCCCGGCGGAGCTCCCGGCTGGCACCGAGGAGCTCTGGCACCGCGAGATGGCGCGCCGGCGCGCCCAGGCGGCCGCAGCGGCAGCCGCTGCCGAGCAGGCCGCGCTCAGGCGGGAGCTGGACCGGCTGCGGGCCACTGCAGCGGAGCGGGCGGCGAGTGGGCAGCCCAGCGGGCTCGAGCCCGCCAGGGAGCCGAGAGGTCAGCGGCACGCTGGGGCTGCGGCGCAGAGAGAGGTCGAGGCGCTGAAGCAGCTGGTGGCCGAGCTGCACGCCAAAATCTCCGCGGAGGATCGACAGAGAGAGTCGGCTGGCTGCGCTGCGGCGGCAGTGGCGGAGCTGCTCAGGCAGCAGGCGCTTGAGGTGCAGGCCAACTTATCCGAGGAGCAGCAGCTGGAGCAGGCGGGCTCTGCCACGACGGCAGAAGCCAGAACCGCGGAGGAGGAGGAGGAGGAGGAGGAGGAGGAGGCGCTGGCAGCGCAGGGCTGGCAGCATGCTGGCGCCCGCGCCGAGGTCGCGGCGGCGGAGGATCATGAGCGGCGCAGAGCGAAGATATCCGTGTCTTCGCCACCATCGCTGTCTGGATTCCGGGGCGCAACCCCGCGGATACGCGGCCGCACGGATGCGTTCCGTGTGGGGGAGCTTCCGCGAAACAGCGCCCCGTGTCCGCGGGCTCGCGGCCCAGGGTCAGATACGGATATGCTTGCCGCCCACGAGAGGAGGTCCTGCGGGCGCAGTTCCGCGTGTCAGCGTCCGAGGGGGCGGAGTTTTGGCAGCAAGGCAGGGCCGCGTCCGAGGCCAGACCTGCGGCGGAGGCGCTGGCCGCGCAGGTGGGCAGGCTGGAGGTCGAGAAGGCGGAGCTATGCCAGAAGGCCGACGCGTGCGCGGAAGCTGCGGCGGCGCAGGAGGCACTGCGGGCACAGGTCGGCAGGCTGCAGGTCGAGAAGGCGGAGCTTCAGGAGCAGGCCGCGGCTGCTGCTGCCCACGCCGGAGCCGCGGGCGACACGCTGGCAGCGGGGGCTAGCAGGCTGGAGCTCACGAGCGCGGAGCTGCGACAGGAGGACGGCATGCGTACCAGGGCCAGTGCGGCGGATCCGGCGCTGGCAGCGCAGGTTCACAGGCTGGAGATCGAGAAGTCAGAGCTCCAGCAGAAGGCAGACGCCGGCGCTGAGGCTACGGCGGCGAAAGAGACACTGCGGGGGGAGCTCGGCAGACTGGAGTCCAGTCATGTGGAGCTTCAGCAGCAAGCCACCATTGTGGCCGAGGTCAGCTCTGTGGATAAAGCGTTGGCGGTGCAGGTCGACAGGCTGGAATCCGAGGATGTGGAGTTCCAAGGCGAAGCCAGCGCATACGCCAGTACCAAGGCCGAGGAGGAGGTTTTGCGGGCGCAGCTCGGCAGACTGTCCAATGCCAGGGATGAGGCGCTGGCAGCGCAGGTCAGCAGGTTGGAATACGAGAAATTGGTGCTCCAAGAGCAGGGCGAAGAATCGGAGGAGGCACTGGCAGAGCAGGTCAGCAGGACGGAGTTCATGCAAACGGAACTAGAACAGAAGACCAACGCCTGCGTTGAGGTTACGGCGGCGGAGGAGTTTCTGTGGGCGCGACTTGGCCAAATGGAGTCCGAGAATGCGGAGCTTTTGCAGCAGACTCGTGCTGTGACCGAGGCCAAAGTCGCAGAGGAGGCGCTGGCAGCGCAGGTGAGCAGACTGGGATCCGAAAATAAGGAGCTCCAACAGATGGCCAAGTCTGCGGAGCATGCGCTGGCAGCGCAGGCCAGTATGCTGACGTCCGCGGAGGCGGAACTCCAGCAGCACGCCAACGCACGCGCTGAGGCCACGGCCGTCAATGGGGCTATGCGCGCGCAGCTCGGCCGGCTGGAAGCCGAGATCGCGGAGCTGCATCAGCAGGGCAGCGCAGACGCCCAAGCCAGAGCCGCGAGCGAGGCGCTGTCAGCGCAGGCTGGCAGCCGGGAGCCCCAGGCCGTGGAGCTGCGGCAGCAGGCCAGAGCCGCGGAGGAGGCGCCGACCGCCCAGCTCGGCACGGCAGAGGCCGAGGCCCGGCGGCAGCAGGCCGAGGCAGCGGAGGAGGCGCTGGCAGCGCAGGTCGCCAGGCGGGGGTCCGAGGGGGCGGGCCTCCGGCCGACGGCCCACGCCCTGGAGGAGGCGCCGGCAGCGCGCGCCGGCAGGCCAGGGCTCCAGAGGGCGGAGCTCCGAGGGGAGGCCGGCGCGCGCGCGGAGGCGGCGGCGGCTGGGGAGACTGGAAGAAGAACAAACGCGCCATGAACCTAAACTTGTGGCGCTCCGCGCGGATTTCTTGGATCCGCGCCTGGGCTCCCCCGGGCGGCGCCTCCGGCGCCGCCCCTGGCGCGAAGAAATCCGCGCGGAGCGCCAAAAGTGTATGTTTCTGTGTTTTGTTATTTTTCTAGAGGCGGCGGCGGCGGCGGCTGGGGAGACGCTGCGGGCGCTGGCCGGCAGGCGGAAGGGCGAAGATGCGGAGCTCCTGCAGCCGCAGCAGGCCAACGCGTCTGCCGAGGCTGGCAAGTCTGCGGAGGGGGCTCTGGCAGCGCACGTCGGCTGGCTGGAGTCCGAGGGAGCGGGCCTCCAGGCAGCCACGGCCAGGCACAAGGTGCTGGCAGCGCAGGCCAGCAGGCTGGACTCCGAGAAGGCGGGGCTCGAACGGAAGAAGGCCAGCGCATGCGCGCATGCCGAGGCCACGGAGGAAGCGCGGGCGGCGCAGGTCAACAGGCTGGAGCACGACACGACGGAGTTCCAGCAACAGGTCAATGCATGCGTTGATGCCAGTGCCGCGGAGGAGGCGCTGGTAGCGCAGGTGCGCATGCTGGAGCACGGGAAGTCTGAACTCCAGAAGGCCGACGCCTGCCCCGAGCCCACGGTGGCGGACGAGACTTTGCAAGCGCAGCTCGGCGGGCTTGAGGACGAGAGCGCGGAGCTTCAGCAGCACGCAGAGTCCGCGGAGGTAGCGCTGGCAGCGGCGGTCGGCAAGCTGGAGTTCGAGAGGGCGGAGCTGGAGCAGGAAGCCCGCGCCAGGGAGGAGGCGCTGGCAGCGCAGGTCAGCACAGTGAAGTCAGAGACGGCGGAGCTCCCACAGCGGGCTGGCGCGTGCGCTGAGGCCACGGCGGCGCGGGATGCGCCGCGAGCGCAGATCGACCGGCTGGAAGACGACACGGTGGAGCCTGAGGAGCAGGCCGATGCGGTGCCCGATGCCAAATTTGCGGAAGAGGCGCCGTCTGCTCAGGTCAGCAGGCGGGAGTCCAAGGAGGAGGGGTTCCCACAAGATGCCGACGCATGCGCCGCGATGACCAGCCAGGAGGAGGATGAGGTGGAGGCCCCGGCAACGAAGTCCGCCCACTTGGACTCTGAGAAGGCGGAGCTGCAGCAGGAGGCCCAAGCAGGGGAGGAGCTGCTGGCAGCACCGGTCACCACGGTAAAGTCGCAGACGGCGGAGCTTCAGCATTGTGCTGGCGCATGCGCTGAGGCGACGGCGGCGGGAGAGGCGACGCGGGCGCCGTTCGTCAGGCCCAGCAGTCTGGAGGACTTCCTGCACGACGAGGAGGCTGATCCTCAGCAGCAGTGCAGTACCGCTTCTGAGGCCAGGGCCGCGGAGGAAGCGCTCGCAGCACTGGCCAGCAGGCTGGAGTCCGAGAGGGCGGAGCTCCAGCAGTCGGCCGACGCACGTGCAGGGGCCACGGCGGCGTTGGAGGCGCCGCGGGCGCAGCTCGGCAGACCGGAGGGCGGGGAGGCGGAGATGCTCGAAAGCCGCAGCGGAGTCGTGCTGAGCGCTGCGGAGGTGGCGGCGGGGGACGCGCAGCCGAAGCAGATGGGCAGGGCGAGGCGCAAGGGGGTTGCGACAGAGAGTATCGATAGCGGTAAGGTCAAGAACTACGTCAAGCCCGTTTTCGCCAAGGACCAGGGGACGATCGAGGAGCTCGAAGTCAAGCTCAAGGAGGATCCACAGATGCAGGTCCTGTTTGGCCACCTGGACTCCGCAGGTCTCCGGGATGTGGTCAACGCGTTCCAGCCGAAAGATGTCTCTCAAGGGGTTGATATCATCCGTCAGGGAGATCCTGGCGACTGTCTCTACTTCATTCTTAAGGCTTACGCCATGCCGCAGCCCGTCAGACGGAAGAACGACGAGGTGGGATGAGGATGATGAGGTGGATGCCTCGCAGGCGTGGACCAGCATTGTCCAACCGTTGTTATTTCCCAGGGGGCAGTGTTGGGAGATGATTGGGTCTCTGTTGGGGCCGCTTTGGGGTCTTGCTGGGACCCTCCTGGGCTCTGTTACGTAAGGCCCGCGTGGGGCACTTGCGGGGCCTTGGGGCTGGATGTGAGAGCCAAGGAGCCGTTGTGGGGCATCGAGAGGTAGGCTTGGAACGGTATTGGGCCGTCTTGGGGCCGTCTTGGTGGCCTGCTGGAGGCCATCTTGTGGGCCACCCAGGCCGCCTGATGGCCTCCTGGGTGTCTCGCGGGTCTTCTCCGAGGCCCCGGAGGGCCGCTGTGGGGCGATCTTTTGAGGCTGGAGAAGTGGGGTTCACCAGAAGTGTTGAGAACTCCGTGAGACTGTGTCTACACTGCAGCCGATCGTCTCTCGGCCGCCCTCGTGGCCCCCCCCGGGCAGGCGAGGGTCGGCGGCTCAAGGCTGGCAGCGTCGACGTCTTCGTGGCGAGGCCCGGCCCGGCGGGCGCGAGCGAGGCGGGCGGCAGGGGCCCGAAGGTCACCACGCTGGGCAGCGGCGCGCTGTTTGGGGAACTGGCGCTGCTGTACAACACCCCGCGCGCGGCGACGGTCACGGCCGCGTCGGAGGAGGTGAGCACTTGGCGGCTGGACGCCCTTGACTTCAAGATGCTGCGCGTGCAGTCGAGCCAGGAGCAGTACGAGAAGTACGAGGGCTGGCTGTCGAGGGTGGACCTGCTCCAGACGCTGGACCACTGCGAGCTCTCCAGGCTGGCCGACGCCATGGAGGGCCAGAGGTTCTCGGCCGGGGACACGATCATCAGGCAGGGCGACAAGGGCGACAGGTTCTTCATACTGGAGTCGGGGTCCGCCGTGGCGTACATCCAGGGCGACGCGGGCGAGAAGGAGGTGAACCGATACTGCAGCACGGGCGACTACTTCGGGGAGGTCGCGCTCCTAACATCGGAGCCGCGCAAGGCCACGATCCGGGCCGCCGCGGAGGGGTGCACCGTGGCGTCGCTGGTGGCGTCTGACTTCGCAAATCTTCTGGGCCCTCTGAGCGACCTCCTGAGGGAGCAGGCGGACAAGTACCCGCAGTACAGGGACTTCATCAACAAGGCTACGGAGGAGGCGTTGGCGCCGAAGGCCGCCCAGCTGGAGCCCCAGAGGGCGGAGCTGCGGCAGGGGGCCCGGGTGGGGGAGGAGGCGCTGGCGGCGCCAGGCAGCGGCTGGGAGTCAGAGACGGCGGAGCTCCCACAGCGGGCTGGCGCGTGCGGTGAGTCCACGGCGGTGGGAGAGGCGCCGCGGCCGCAGTTCGATAGGCTCGGCAGTCTGGAGGACTTCCTGGACGACGAGGAAGCAGAGCCTTAAGCAGCAGGTCGGTATCTCGACGGCAGGAGCAGGACCATAATATACTATGCTCGCAACTGTCACCGCGCATCGTATGGTGTTAGTGGATACCATCCGGGGTGTGTTCACGAGCGTCGGCTACATGAGAATGCATGTGCGGCTCCCATTGCCGCTCCTGAGGCCAGAGCCTCGGATGAAGCGCTGGCGATGCCAGCCAGCGGGCTGGAGTCTGAAAGGGCGGACCTCAAGCAGTCGGCCGACACCTGCGCGGGAGCCACGGCGGCGGTGGAGGCGCCGCGGGCGCAGCTCGGCAGACTGGAGGGCGAGCGGGCGGAGACGCAGGAAAGCCGCGGAGGAGCCGACCGGGCAGCGGCGTCCTGCAGGAGCAGGCGGACAGGCAGCCACAGCACAGGGACTTCACCACGCAGCAGGGCCCGCAAGCGGCAGCAGGGGCGCCGTTCGGAGCAGGGGCTGCCGCGCGCGGTGGCCCGTCCGCGGGAGGTGCGCACCTCTGCCGAGCCGGTGCCGCAGGGCACCCGGCCTGGCCCGCCGAGCGACGTCTCGAGGAAGCAAGACGGACAAGTACAGCCTGGTGCGAGTGTTGCAGAACGGTCCTCGCCGCTGGATGGGGCACCATTGCCTCATGTCACTCGTGTTCGGGATCTCCACCTTGGAGTGCCTTACGTTTTGGGTGGCTCCATGCGGCGTCGGGCTCTCGGCGATGGGGGCTCACGAGAACGTCGTTCTCGTGACCACGTTTCGGCCCCATACGTCCGACGATGTGGCAGGGGGAAAAAAGAACACACACACAGACAGACACAATTAGTCGTCGGTCCCTAAAAAATATATGGTAAAATATGGGAAGTGGGGGGAAGACAAAAACCCAGAAATTATAGGAAAATATGGTGAATCCTGTTATTTGTGTGTATTTATTTGTGTGTCCTTGGGCCCCTTGAGATGTGGCTTGTCCAGTCCGCGGCCCTGGAGGCCTCGACCCCTTCTCCTGGGGGTGGCCTCTCGCCCCCGATCCATGCTGGACGGCCCCCGGGCACGACGGCGAGCCCCAGGAGCTGAGATTGAGGGAAGAGGTCGTCCTCCTCCTCCTCCTCCTCCTCCTCCTCCTCCTCCTCCTCCTCCTCCTCCTCCTCCTCCTCCCCCTCCCTCTCTCTCTCTCCTCCTCCTCCTCCTCGTCCTCCTCCTCCTCCTCCTCCTCCTCCTCCTCCTCCTCCTCCTACTCGTCATCCTACTCCTCCTACTCTTCATCCTCCTCCTCCTCGGAGATCTGACAAATGACTTCCACGAGCACGACAGAGACCTCGTGCGTTTTTCCACTCGGGCTCCCGCAGCGATGCCCGAGGTTTGATATGCGGTCGCGCCCGGTTCTGGGGCGAACGCTGGCTCGCTAGGACCGCGTGCCTCCCCGGAGGTCTGGGACTGCTTCCGCAGCACGGAGGCTCTGTTGCTTAGGCATCCCAAATAGGGTCGGAGCAGATGGGGTCGGAGGGTTGCCCCGCATCCAGGGGCCCCCCCCACGACCTCTGAGGCGAAGTGAACCTCCCCCTCCCCCTCAGAAATCGTGGGGGGTAGGGGTAGGGTTCGCATGTGGCCCCCTGGCATCGCCGATGCGTCACCGGTTCTTCGACGACGCACCGACGGTGCGTGGCTGCCGCCCGAGGCCCTCTGGGCGACCGCCGAGCCCGGCGCTCGGGTGTTCGATATTCAGCATCAAGACATGAGAGCGTTGTATCTCCTCGTAGTTTCGATGTTGGAGTCAGGTCGGGCCTGTCCCCCTACAGGAGGAATGTTCAGAAACAGTCCGAAAACAGTCAGGGGACGATTGTTTGAATATGTTTTGACCATGTTGGAGCATGTTTTGACTATGTTTTCTGTTTTTTCTCCAAAACCCCCCCCCCTGCAGGAGGACAGGCCCGACTTAATGCTGGAGTGCACTCACGTCGATTAGCCTCTGGCAATTGATGAGAAGGCGCCGATGTTGCGACGCGGCGTCGATTCGTAAGAGCCAGCAGGATGGAGGCTCCCACGAGCTGCCACAGAACTCCTTGCAGAGCTGCCTGCGGACCCCGGGACGATCGAAGTGGGCACGGTGGGTTCGTGTCGTATCGATGCGGCGGCGACCCCCAGGGTGAGCACGCTAAGGTTGAACAACCCGGAAGCTTCCGCCCGTCTCGAAAAAGCACCAGCTAGCGCAGAATAGCGTTAAAAAACGCCCAATTGCGCCCACCTTGCGCCGCACGGCGCCCAATGGCGCCACGTGGGGGAGATGCGTTGCGTCCGCTTTGCGGGCTATTGGACGCGCTATCGGGCGCCACGGGGATGACCAAGAGCTTCCGTGAACGTTTCAAGCAAAGGTATGGACAGAGAGGGAGCGCATAGTCACGGCAGCTCCTGCCCACTTTTGAAAGGGCTCGCCGTCGGTGCCGCCGCGGGCGTGGTCCACTTGAGGCCGAAGGCCGCCTGTCCAACAGCGGCCGCTGTCGGTTTGGGGCACCGTTTGCCGTTGGGCATCGTGCCCGTTTTTGTCCGTACCCATTTGGGGGCGCCTGGGGCGGAAGGATGGACCAAGGGGTGGGGCGGCAGTCAGCATCCATAGACTTGCATGCGGCCAAAACGTGTTGCTTCGCGCGTCGCGCCGCCGGTTCTACAGCCTTTCGGTGCAACCGCCTTTTCTTGCAGTGGCGAAATTGTCTCTCAGAAAAGGGGCCCCTTGTCCTGCATACGTGCAGGCCCAGCCGCAACAAAAGGCGATGAGGGAGAAGGCGGCCAGAGAGCTGTTGGCATGAGCCACCGTAACCAGAGCTGGCGCCAAAAAATAGTGATGTCATCCTCGTCACGTCTGGTGCTGCCACAATCAGGCTCGTTGCGTTCCGCCCCAGTCGTCACCATCAACACAACCGTCGTCGTCATCAGCGCCATCATCACAATCATCTGAGTCTTTTGAACTCCTAGTAATCATACACGAGGTTTGACGGCCACTTGCCCCCCAGCAAGCTACGTTACCGCGCCTGCGCTGATGAAGGTAACTCCAGATTCCCCCATCATGGGAACCATGCTGCCACAGAGGCCCCACCACTGTTGCTCGATTATTCTATTTCAATTACGTGCAATTCCACGAGGCCTCTGCAGACCCATTGGGAGCTCTTGGGCTGTCTCGGGGCGATGGTTCTACCAAGCTCTTCCGTTGAGACTCGAGAGAAAAAAATCAAAAAACAATGTTTCTCCAGGATCCTCGTGGGGGCACCCAGGCTGTACAGGCATGGCTCTGCGGGGCTCCCGCGGGCCTCAGGACGCTCTTGGGCCGCCCCGTGCGCGACTGCTCCACCGAGCACTCCCGAAAATGCTCGGCACATCTTGGGGCCTTTTTGGGCGCGTCTTGGGGCAGCACTGCGCCGTGACTCCTTGGGCAGTCTTTGGGATCTATTCGAGCCATCTTGGGGGGGGGTCGCGGGTCTTCTTGCTGCTCTCTGCGGCTGCTGTCTTGGGGCCCTCCGAATCTTTCGGAAGTCATCTGAGGCCGGAAAGCGTTCAAAGCAACATACATCACAACTTGTTTGTTGTTGGTGTGTATGTGTGCATTTTTGGTGCATCGCCTGCTTTTGCATTCCAACGGCCGGCCAAGTTCGGTACCCGTTGAGAATCATTGCTCTCGCACGCTTCCGCAAAGGTGGATCAGTCTGCTGCCACTTTGCATTCTCGGTCTCACCGCAGACTGGACCTCACGAGCGGGTCGGGGAAGTGTGTGTGTGTGTGTGTGCATGCGTGTTTGTGTGATTGAGGGCGTTGGATGCCCGCGACATCGAACTCCTCTGGGGCCTCGCTGGGACTCCGAGGGCTCCCAAATGCATCGACCTTCGGTCCTCGCAGCTTTCTCTGCCCCGCCTCTCCCGCCGGGCGCGGAGGAACCCGGTGCCCCCGAAGGCAGAGCCCACGGACGTGCTGGTGGTCGGCAGCTGGGACCAGACGCTGTCCTTCTACAAGGTGTCCGGGCAGGAGCGGGAGGGCACTCCCTCGCCCCCCAGGGCCTTGGAGGCCAGTGCACTGCAGGCTGCTTGCTTCCCTGCCATATCCAGCGCGAGAGAGAGAGTTCAGGAGGGCACGGAGCACGACGCAGACACACTTTTGTCTCGACTCCCAGGAGAAATGCGGAAACAGATGGACAGTGGGGGGGAGGACGAACACCCCGAAGATATGGAACAGATGGGGGATCCTGGGATTTGTGTGTGTGTGTGTTTATTCGTGTGTCCCGGGTCCCCCTTTGGAGAGCGTAGTAGTAGTAGTAGTAGTTGTTGTTGTTGTAGTAGTAGTAGCTGTTGTAGTTGTAGTAGTAGTAGTAGTAGTAGTGGT